ATGAAATGAAGATCTTTTTTAAAGGTTAAAAACTCATTCAATTTTATGTCTTACAGGGCTTATACTGAGTTCAGTACTGTATAACTGTATTAACTCAACTGTGAACCTAGATACTTACACCCTCTTGTGAAAGAGATGTACTCCTGCTCTGGAGTGTGTTACTGAATATGTTAAATCTGTAGTAAAATGCTTCTTCTAATCATGTAGTTATTAAAAATCTAAAAAATAATGATTAAAAAATAATAATGAGTAGATGTGAAAAACATTACCATTGAAATGTACCTGATGACTTTATATCCATGCTCAAATGCCAAGGAGCTCAGAAAGTAACCGACTACCACTAGTAATAATCAGATACATAGAGATTAGAAATGCACGTGCAAACATCTTAATGTCAATTGCATTGAAAATGAATTTTTCTGTATGAAACTGTATTTTAATAATGAAATGGAGATCTTTTTTAAAGATTAAAACCTCATTTAACTTTATGTCTTATAGGGTTTATACTGAGTACAATATTGTATAACTGTAATAATTCAACTGTAAACCTAAAAATTTATAGCCAATTCTGAAAAAGATGCATCTTAGCTCAGAAAATTGTTATTGACTATGTCAATGTTGTTGTAATGAAATGCTTCTTATAAGCATGTGGTTATTAAATAAATAATTAAGAAAAAAAGAGAGAATGTTTCATCTGATGCCCTAGTAAAATTTAAATGTAACATAAACACTGCTATAGGCCTGTGCTCAGGTGGCTAGATGATAACACTCAAACTGTCACTGAGCCTCGCCTGGCTGGCAGTGGAAGGTGACCAAGGCAAGCAGGCAATAGTCTCATCAGCTAAATTGCATTCTTTGACTTAGAAAAGCTTCCATAAATCAATAAAGACATTTCAAAGCAAACTGCTCTAGCCATGGTAGAGATCCTAACAAGCTTAGATCCAAAGCATGGCTAATCTAGATGCTAGAATCTCATTCTTGAATGAAGCATTATGGCAATGGGAAAGTTGACAATAAAACCCATAAAAGTGCGTCAGACAGGAGATAGTCAATGTGCATCACCCAAGTGCAGGAAGAATGGCTTATCTAAAGTATTCATTTTCAGCATTCAACACAGAGAATCAGTATTCTCCACCTGAGAAAGCTGGAACGAGACCCCCTGAGCTCAGAGTCTCCTTCATCAGCTCTCCATGAGAAGGAACCTCTATCCAGGAGTGGTAAGGTTAAAGCAAACAATGTATGAGAAAACCCAGGGCTAGCAAGGGTTATAACAAGACTGCCAGTTGTCAGATGATGACATGAGATCCCAAGTAACATTTTTGTAACCAATAGTCAACACAACAGACATAGGTCACTTCTAACATTTGCTCCTCACTGGACAATACTCTGTCTTAGCATATATGAAGGCAAAGGTTTTGAAACTCATGCCATTTGCATACACATACTGTGGTGCAGATAAGAAACTGATCCACTCACTCTACACAGTGCTAAATCTTGTCCTGGTGATAAGAGATCATCCTGCCAGGACCATACTCCCTAGGTATCCTGTAATCCAGCAGAGCAGACCAGAATATGGGCAATCAAGTAGCTGATACCAGGGACCATGGAACACAGTCTAAATATACTCCATTGGATTAAGGGGATGCTATTTTTAGAATAGCATTGTGATTCCAGTGGTTGGAAGAGTTCCTTAAATGAATATTTTAAAATTCAATAAAAAAGATACTTGCCATTCCTACATTTGGAAAACAATTCATTAAGTGTGTATACATAGTAAGAATAATTCTTTTGAGTGATTACAACAAGAATTAAAAGGATCAAATTCATAGTTTTATTTTCAAGTTTATTTCCTATCTGGCAGAAACTCAAAACCAATGAATCAGTTTAATGCCATTATCCAAATGCTTAAACTTAAGACATATAAATTGTTCAAACAGCATATTGCTGCTGAGGTAGGATCTACAACAGGGAACTTTAACAATACACAATGTTTATATGTTGTTTATATAACAAATATATACTCTGTCGCTGTCAAATATGGTGTCAAAGAGAACAGAGGCTAAAATGGAAGTGGGTGAGTGTCTGCTCGATGTTGCAGAAAATAACTATTGTGACTACATAATTTCATTACGATGATGCCAAAAAGCGCCTAAGAATGGGACTGGTTGCTTGGTTACTGGGGGAGGGAATTGCTAATGCTACTACTGCTCTACAACTAGACTGGTTCTGAGAGATATATCTGAGTTCCTCGGTTCCCTGGGAACACCAACTTGGATTGGCCATAAAATGGCCTCTAGGGGGAACTGAACTGGGCTATGCCCTGGGATTTGTAAAGGGAATATTGTCTCAAAGCTCTGGCAAAAAGAAAACTCCTTTAAGGCACTGTTTCAACATTGCTTTTCTTCATTTCAAATTTCATTACAAGTTTTGGGCCTTTACCAGTAATGGCTTAAGCTAAATGATCAAGTACAGTCACTACAGTTGCTCAGAACAGAGGGCTATGCTAAGAACAAGGATATCCCCAAGAAAGCCACTCAAATACCTACTCACCTCCACAGGCAGCATCTGCGTGCTGTCATAGAGAGCGCGGCAGACCTTCAACACCTCATTCCCGAGTTCCTCCTTGTTCTCTGCTGTACATCTGGTCAGCATCACAGTCGCTAGTCTCACCCACGGATTGCTGGCTATGCTGTTCCTCACAGAAAAATATGCAAAGCATTGGAAATGATTAAAGCTCATAACTGTGATTAAGGAATCCCATTTTTTTTTCTGAAATAAAATGCTTATGGTAAATTACACTCAGAGTCTAGATGGTGTGCTCCTTTAAGTCTATCTTATAGAAGAGATAAAATGTGGAGGAGACTCAGAGCTCAGTGTGGTTTGGATAAGCAGCTGGCAGCCAACAGCACAGGGCGAAGGGCCTGCTGAAGCGCTCAGGCTTGGAAGCCACAGACCCAGGCTCACATTCTGAACCTGCAGCAGAACTGCCACATACCAGAATTTATACATTCTTATTCTCTACTCCAGTTGAACCCAGGACTCAGGAATCTGCATTTAGCAAGCAACTCCAGACACTCACTGAGGCAACTCTAGCAAGATTCCTGGGAATCACAGAGTACTGTCACAGTGGCACTGAAGGTCCTATTAGATGAGCAAGCCCACACTGCAGTTCAAAGAGTGCAGGAATGACAGGTATGGTGGCACTGGGTGGGGCACAAAGATCACTAGTTCAAGGTCACCCTGATATATATATAATCTCCAGATTGTCTTAAACAACAAAAAACACCACACCAAACAATGTAGGTGGAATCACATTCTTTGTAACACAAGTCAGCATGCATTGCTATCACAAATGACAGAGATTTAAGAAACAATTTCTCTTTCTAAAAATATTTGGTTAAAAAAAAGTCACTCTCCTTGGTTTGCTTCAGAAATTCCTAACAGTCTCATTCATCCTGGAGCTCAGGTAGTCTTTTGAAGCTGTTCTTTAGTGCTTCTAACCTGCTTGCAGAATAATTTATTTCAGGCAAGCATCTTTCTTTCCCTTCTAAGATGTGGAGAATCTCCCTGGCCTGGGAAAGTCGCTGACTGAGTGCAGAAGACTCAGATGATTCCTGGAGCAAATGGTCTTCTGAACAGGGACACAGGGACTCATGCTTGGTACTGATGAAAAGCAGCTTATGACAGGCAGCATACATGCTCAGAGAAAACCTGGTCACTTCTTCCAAAGAAAAAGGGCCAGTTGTGTGGCTGACAGCACAAGGACTGTATGAGCACACAGGCAGCTCTGAGTGGCAGCAGCAAGCTCAGTATGACAGAGGGAGAAGCCACCCAAGCCAACAATGTGGCCAGAAGCTGGTGAAAATTGTCCCCACTTGTTATCTCTGTGGGGCCTGAAGTTATTTCTGAAACAAGTACTTCAGTTATGAACTTGAGACTCAATTCCTTCACCTCTATAATTAGATAACATTACCTTTGTATATTTGTTGTGTACATGATTGATAAAACATGCAGATTGCATACTCATGAACTCTGAATAAATGGGAATTACTTATTTGTTCCATGTGAATTCTCAAGTTAGCACTGTAAGCTTTCTTAGATAGGCAAGAAATTTCCTTGTGAAAACACTGTAACAAAATTACTGTGCTTACATCACACTTCAGACACGATTATGAAATACCCTCTAATACTTCTGAAGAAAATATGTGAATTTCGGGTCAAGGAGAAATGGAAAGACATCGCAGTATTTCAAAAACAATTTAAAATGCCTTAAAAGTCAATGATTACACGCACATACTTTTTTATTCACCATTTTACTTTCTGTGGTTTCAGTTATTTCAGCTGAACATATAAACCACAGTCCAAAAATACTAAAAGGAAAATTCCACTAATAATTGTCTGGTTATCCAGTGCAAACATGTAGCATATACCACTTTTTGGTGAGTCATTTAGCAGCCATCTCTGCCCACACACTGACTGTCAAGACATCACAGTGCCTGTATTCAAGTAATCCTTCTTACTCAGCAGTAACCTCCACGAGCAAGAGCAGAGACAGTAGTAGCTCAGACATGGTGAAGAGAAGTTGTAAAGTACCCCCTTTATGTGAAAATTGCAAAGGAAAAAAAAAAACAAAAACACTGTATATTGGGATTGCCAAGACCTATGATAAGAACCAATCAGCTACATGTGAAATTGTCAGGAAGAAAAAAAATTCTGTTTTGTTGTTGTACTTGAACTCCCAAAATTACAACTATAAGGACCAGGGAGAGGGCTGAGTGGGTAAGCATGCTTGCCCTTATAAGCATGAGGACTGAGGTCAAATCCCCAGTACCCAACTGGCTCTAGCTTGGCTAAACCAGTGAGCTTTGGGTTCAGTGATACCTTGTCTCAAGTCAATAGAGGGGAGAATGATAGACAACCCATGCCCTGCTCTGGCCTTCACATTGGTTTTCACAAGCACACATACCTGCATACCACACATACAACACACAGAAAATTAAAACAACAACAACAAAAAGATCAGCCATTAAATTCATGCTTGGTTCTATAATCCTGGTCAAAAGTCCATGGCTAGGGAGGTCATAGGCTCTAGGGCAGAAGTTACTATTGCTGTTTTGGTAAGTGGTCATGCTGTCAAATTGCCTTCTGAATATTTATGTTTATACACATAGAGCAGGGCTGCTCTCAGTCTTGGTCACAGAAGTTTCTTTTTGCAGTGGACATTGCTCAAGGGAGAGATGCGTAAGTGACCACAGTGCCAAGAACAAGAGACTTAGTTCTCAGCCCTAAACGGGACATCTATATTAATCCCATCATCATTAAGACTCAGGGAAGATTGCAGAAGAGGGAGGGAAGAATCAGAAGAGTGCGAAGGAGTGCTCTGCAATGCTGATTTCTAGACAGGTCATGGCTAACACAATCAAGACTTCAGCAGCTGTGGTTACCTGTGGTTGCCTGTGGTTACCTTGATCTTCACAAGATCAAGTCAGTCAAAATCCCAACAGATGGGGTAAATGATCTCCAAGCCCCCACCTCATACCAAGGAGCTATTGGTAGTTGATAGTTGCTGGGACTCCTTTACTGAGAATTCGGCAACTGGTGGGCTTCCCACACTCCAGTGCGTGGCCTCACACCGCATGCACATATGGGCAACACTAACTGGACTTAGTGGGTTATCACAAAAGAAAAGACATGAAGTTGAGAGAGGATCATGATGGGGTACATGGAAGGAGTTGGGGAGGAAATGGGGAGCGGATAAAATCATGTTTCATTGTATACAATGAAATTCTCAAAAATTAAGAAAAATTAAAAAGAACAAAATCACTATGGTACATGTTAAGTGCTTAGCTAAAGTCCAAAGGCATTAAATGTACATGAAAAATGCATAGGAAAACACATAAAATAGAGTTTGGTACTATCCAAAGTTTCAGAGTGCTTGGAATATAGGCTCCTCAGATAAAGGAAATCTATCTATCCATCTGTCCATCTATCCCTCTGTCCCTCTATGCCTCTATCCCTCTATCCATCTATCTACATATATATGTGTATGTGTGTATAATACACATATGCAAATACATGCACACACATGCACAAAACAAATGTGCACATACATACATACATGTGTACACAGTGCATATGTACACAAACATGCATACACACATATGTGCATACACAGTGCATATGCACACATGCACATATCTGTGCGTGAATGCTGCATACCCACACATGTGCCCATGCATACATACATACATACATACGTGTGTACACACTGCACACACACATATGCATACTCTTTCACGGGCTGTTCTGGAGATGCTACATTTTTAGAACTGACATCCAAACAGAGCAACTCTAATTAGGCTAAGCTTATTGTAATACTTACACATAGTCACTTTTCATAGGTGGCCAAGCTTGCAAGAGCAAAATCAAGTGCTGAAATTCGCCCTCCTGGTGACTAGACTCCAGGAGCTCCATGAACAGAGAGTAGCGGCTCTCTTCATTTTCGATGTCAGCTACATCCACCTGGAAGCAGTGGCAAAGGATGTTGAATTGGCATATAGCAATGCTTGAGGAAATATTCCTGGAAAAATCTGAAACATGCTGAGTGAAAACTAAACACGATCAAAAATCAAACCAGAAGGAAAACAAACTGCTATGGTTCAGATATTGTTTGTCACCCAAAAGCGCTTGACCCTCAGAGGACGTAGGAGTCCCAAGATCGCTGGGGGAATGGTCTTGGAAAAGGAATGTGAGAACTGATTCTTTCCACTGACTTCCATTAACCACATCTCTTCCTTAGGCAACTGCTCCCATCAGGACATGGCATGGTCAAGAAGGCCCTCACCAGAGTTGAACAATCCCAGTGCCTTTTGCCCTTCCTTTAGACCTTTGAGGACACAAACCTTTTATCATTATATAATTAGTCTGCTTGGGTATTTCATTCCAGTAATGGGAAAAAGATGGACTAATATACAATCCTTCAAAAATTCTGGATCTTAATTTCAAACAAATATAGTATAAACTGTTTAGAACTACAAAATTGTAGAAGGTTCTTTAACCTTTGTCTTAGTCTGTTCTTCATTGCTGTGACAAAACACTCTGACCACTACCAACTTGGGGAGGAAAGGGTTTATTTGTCATACAACTCCCAGGTCGCAGTTCATTAGGGAGCCCAAGGTAGGAACTCAGGGCAGGAACCTAGAAGCAGGAGCTGGAGCACAGGCCATGGAGGAATGCTGCTTACTGGCTTGCTCCCCTGGCCCCTGCTCAGCCTGCTTTCTTATGCAACACAGGCCCACCTGCCCAAGGGTGGCACCACCCACAGTGGGCTGGGCCCTCCCACATCACTCATCAAGAAGATGCCCCTCAGACATGGCCACAGGCCAATCCAATAGAGGCAATTTCCCGATTGAGGCTTCCTCAACCCAGGTGTGTCAAGTTGACACTAAAGCTATCCAGCACAACCTTCTTTATCAAAATAAATTCAGACAGACTTCTACATATCGCTTCACTGGCATTTATATTAAAACACAAAATTCTTATATTGTAAGTGTATGATTTCAGCATTATTAATATTAAATGAATTTTTAATTTTAAGTTATTTAAAAGTAATTCCTAAGTTTTATTAGAAAACCATTAGCCTAGATGTGTCTAGAAATTTCTCTAACTTGCAGTAAGAGATTTACTCATAAGCATTTGCTAGACGGTGCTTTTACTGCAAATTAAAATAAAGCAAAACACCCTTCTATCCACATTCCATTTCCCATGCAGAAGTCTCTGGCAACCACAGAACACTCATTTTCCCCTCACATTGACTAGTTGAGTCACTTCCCTCTTACACGCTGGCAGTGCTAAAACCAATCACATGTGCAGAACCTCTGTGGGAGAGAACATTGGTTATTTTAAGTTGAAGTGTGATCTTGAGCACGACAGCAAGCCAATCTGGCTCTCCACCTTCCTAGTTTCTCTTCACACAAATTCTCTGTATTTGGTCACACAGACAACCATGATGGCAGATTCACAATGACTTGTGTACACAGGCAGTCACATGAGCACACCTTCAAAGGATAGTGAGAGGGGATGCTCTTTATACATCTGCTAAACTGTCTCCACTAATGCACACGTTGCCCCAAACATTTATTTAATGGTCATTCTGGCTCTGATCCCATGAAGTCACCTGAAAAAGGTCACAAACCACAAATTCTGGATTTTTGTAAATGGTCTTATGTACTATGAAATTATTAGTAATTAGTATGGGAAGCCCTGGTTACACAGCAACCTGCCAGATGCTTCAAAGCCTGCCTCTCAGCTTCATGCAATTCATCTCTGAAAAAATCACTCCAGAGCACTTTACAGCTTTTGAAACAATTTCATAATTCAGCAGTCAGTTCACTCCTCCCACAGCTCTGTGTGGGGGACACTTGGATATCAGCAACCTCAAGGAACATGTAGAAATGGGCTCAACTGTCCTGGTAGTTGAGAACAGAACCCAAATATAATCAGATCAGCATGTTCTGACAAGAGAATTCAACACACTAGATAAGCTCTAAATTATTTAAGCTAGGTTGACTAGGAGCTTGGTAACTGTCTGGGATTTTATGAAGAAGCAGTATTTTTAAAAAAACTCAAATTTAAGACTTGGAGTTATCATTAGCTGACCATCTTCAGCCTGTCTCCAGACTCAGGGCCTCCTGGATCTTTCCTGCACAATTAGACAATTTTGCCCTAGAGACCTGGGGATGTTTCCTTGGCCTGGTACATTCTTCCTTCAGGTATCTGAGCAGCTTACAGTTGTTTTTTTCAATTGAAAAGTGTCACCTTACCTGCCGGCCTCACAAATGCCCCACGACTGCACAACTTCTTTGCTGTTTCATTTTCCTTTAGCATTTAAAACTATATGGCATTTTATGCTTATCTATTATATTCCTTTCTTCTTAAGAATGTAAGTCCCTAGAGGCAGAACATACTCCAAGTTACACTTGAACAGATGTACAATGAGCACTTATGGAGTGAATGGGCTTAGAACAGGGATAAAGAGGAGGACACTAAGGAATCAGTTCTCCATAATGAAGCTCCCTCATTCAGAGGAGGGCCAGGAACACAAAAGGTCATAAATGGCCAAAGTGTAGAGATCAAGAGTCTGCTAAATAATGATCCTTGGACAGGACCCCTTTATTAAACTTCATCCACCCAAGGCTCAGGGACCATTGCAGAAGAGGGACTGGAGAGACTGTAAGAGCCAGGGAGGATGGACATGACCATATGGAAACGGAGTCCTATAAGCTCCTGGTAACCTGCTCATATGATTCTATGGTAAAGGTGTCAGCATACACAAGTCCTATGCAAACTCAGGCAGAGAGTAACCCAGCATAGAACTGGGAAAATGAACAGCAGACCCCAATCTTATCTAAAGGAATGTTGGCAACTGATTGCTGCTAGATGAAGAAGAGCTGATCTTCCTAAAACAAGGGACTCTAGATAGGCTGACTATGGACTTGCACTGGGGAATGGCTGGGGGCACTGACAACACAGTAGGCAGTAACAGGGATGACAGAGTATATGGGCTCCAGTGGGGTGAGGCTATGGGAGGGTGTACTTTGGGTATAAAGATGAGTTAGATTGTTTGGGATGTTCTGTATGAAATACACACAAAAAAATCAATAAAAAAGGAATGAATGATGATAACTTATCAGTTATTAAATAATTTAGAATAAATGATTATTAAATACTCGGAGTTGCTACAGAGTTTTGGTTGGTTTTATTATTGGAGATCCAAGAAAATTTAAAAAGAAAATACCGACAAAATGGAAATTACAAAAAAGACTAAATATGGCAAGTTCATTGACATTAGGTTTATATAAATGATGTCTAAGATTAGCCAAGGAGTTTCAGTAAAGTTCCTTGCTTTGCACCTCACTTTCCTTACCTGAAAAATGGGCTTTAAAAATACTAGAAGTCTCAAGTTCTGAGAGGGTATCGTGAGGTCACCTCAGTGAGGGCTCAGGTCTTCTTGCACTGACATCTTGTCTCTATGTAAGAATTTATGTCAGAAAAGGTTTGTGCTTAAAAAAGTATTTAAACTTTAAACGCTGGACATGGTGGAATGTGGCTTTAATCCCAACCCTTGGGAGGCAGAGGCAGGTGAATCCCTGCAAGATTGAGACCACCCTGGTTCATATCATGACTTCCAGGTGGGCTGTAACTAGGGAGACCCTGTCAAAAAACAATCAAGAAACCACCCCCCCAAACCAAACAAAACCAAAAAAGCATTTAAGACCCATCTAATGACATACTGCTAACATTCCTAATATTAGCACTATTGTCGAGTCTACAATTAAATACAGGATAATTAGCAATAAGCAGTTTCCCCTTTCCTATGATGCACAGAATCTATGTGGGTTGCTTTCTATATGTGACAGAGCCCACAAAGAGGAAGACATTAACCCAAACAGCTCTGTTTCAGTGCCACCTAGATTCAAGTTCTAGAAGCTATATTAACTTTGTAAAATTTGAGAACATAAACAACATCAAAGAAAGGAAAATGTAACTAGAAACTAATTCTCTATATGCATTTTTATTAGTCAGAAAATAATAGTATCTATTTATAAATGTTTTTGGTAATAAATTCCTTTGTATAATTAGGCCCTTTCTCACATGGCTACACATGTGTAAAAGTGTTTTTGTTCTATTAATGCTCACTAATCATCTCATTTTTTTTTGTAACTTACCTTTTAGAAATTATTCTCAAGAGACAAATGAGTTTATCATTTCAGGGCAAACAACTGACAGCACATGTTGCCAATGATGCACGTGGAATTTTCAAGAGAAAAATTTGGATTTTGCCAAACGTATAATCTGTTATAATGAGTGTAAAGCTTTTCGAGTAACCTATAGGTGTTTCTAAGGAGGTTGGATAGTGACAATATTAGTGAAGGTGAATTCTTAATATTATATACTAAAATGAATGAATATTTAGAAGCACTGTATAACTTATATTAAGACAGACCAATGGGTTTCTTTTCTATTCTTTACAAACACTGTGAAAAACTTGTTGTGGTTTCAAATTACACATTGTAACTGTTCTGTAAGATAGTACCACTTAGCCAGACATGGTGGCACAGACCTTTAATCCCAGCATTCAGGAGACAGAGGCAGGCGGGTCTCTGTGAGATCAAGGCCAGCCTGGTCTACATAGTGAGTTCCAGGTCAGCTTGGGCTATGGAAAGACTCTGTCTCAAAAACAAAACAAAACAAAACAAAACAAAACAAAACCAAGATAGAACCATGTGTAAGGTTTGGTGTACCACCAAAGAATAATACCCACGTTTACCACAAAAAACTGTCAGAATATTCCTTCCTTCTACAACTACCATATATCTTTCTGAGATTAGGTTTTCTTCATGCACATCAAACAGAACGCCATATCCTAATGATTGACTCTAAGTAGAAGGTGATGCTCTCAACTGGCAGAAACACATTTAGCAGAGAAGGGATTCTGATATGAAGAAAAAAGAATTTAAGAG